ATAGAATAGAATAGAATAGAATAGAATAGAATAGAATAGAATAGAATAGAATAGGTTTGTTAATAGTCTGTTAATAGTAATATAATATAGTAATATAATAATATAATATAATAGTCAGGAAATTCCTCCTGATATCTAGCTGAATTTCCTTCCTTGTAATTTTAGCCTACTGGTTCTGTTCTTCCTCAGAGGCAGTATATTATATTATTATATCATATTGCCTCAGAGGAAGAAGAACAGAACCAGCAGGCTAAAACTACAAGGAAGGAGGTGCAGGTTAGACATCAAGAGGAATTTCCTGACTATACAACCTGACAGCTAGTAGAATAGGCTACCACATCATATAGTGAGTTCTCTTTCACTAGAGAGAGATCTTCGAACAGTAGCTAGATGGTCATTTCTCAGAGGTACTATAGTGAATCCTGAACTAGCAGGGGGTTGGACTGGATGATTTCTGAAGTCACTCCCAACTCTACAATTCTCTGATTCTAAGAAGAGAAGGACAAAAGGACTGTGACCAGATGCTGACTTTTGTGCTCCCATTGGTCAGTAAGAGCGCTGCTTGGTCATCTGGAGTTCTTTTCAGCAGCTACACTGAGGACAAGTCTAGGCTATCATGAACCTGCTTAATAGAGCTTGGGAAGGATTTAATGAATGACGACAATGGCTGTGAACGTGCCCCTAGATTCTTAGTATTTCTTTTAAACTGTTTGTTTTTACTTTGTTTTTTTTTTAAATTGTAGTTATTCTGTAAGCTGCCAGGGGTCGTAATAGATTTAGGCAATCTATAAATCCTATAAATAAACACATGCGATCTAATTAAGTTTGGTCTGTGAATTCATAAAGCATTGTTCAGTGAAACACTCTGTTGTTCCCTATACTACTTAGAAGCTTCTGAAGATTGGTCCCAGCTGTAGAAATAGCACCTTTCAAAAATGGATTATCTGTATCTGAACTCACAGGTCTGAACAAAGCAGACATCAGTGTGTAACGGTTGGTTCTCAGACTGGGAAAAATTCAGACTGTTGTAAAAAGAGCCAACTGGAACCTCCCTCCTTATCAGTGAAAAGACCACTAGTTCACAAGAAGGCTGTTAGAAAGAAGATAAGGAAATATCTACTTTAATGTACTTTGGGGTATATTGGTTTTAGATAGGAAGTAGTTCAGCTGCTGGAGTCTTGTATTCCAACCTTTTCTTTTCAATGCATTTTGCTAAAGAGACTCTGCATGAAAAAAATATCACTTTTGGTTTTGGGCACACACCAAGAGCTTGTGCAATACTTATAAAATGAGTATTCATAACTGCCATAAGAACTCTAATGTCATAATGAAGTTAATATTAAAAGTGATAAAGGATAGAGGATTTTCGGTCTCTCTTAATCTTACTCATTTGCACAAATCTGCAAATGAAAGACTGGGATTCTCATATATTTCAATAAGGTACGCCAGTTCAACCAGATCCGATTGTTTTTTGGGGGGGATTGTTTTTTAACTTTAAATTTTATTGGGGGGGGTTGCATAAATAATTTTTATTGTTAAAATAGTGAAATAGAAAACACAACAAAAGAACACTATGTTATAATGGTTAAATGACTTAAATATTACAACAAATTAGTAAAAAGAAAAGATCCATATGATAAGCACCCAGTTTTTCTGTTTTTGTTTTTGTTTTTATTGTTTCTTGTTTTTACTTTTTATATGATATTCCTTTATCTTATGATTGTTAGCCACCCAGAATTCTGGTTTAAGATGGGTGGCCATATAAATATTTGAAATGAATGAATGAATGAATGAATGAATGAATGAATGAATGAATGAATGGAATTAATTCAGTTACTGAGTTTAACATTAAATCTGGTTTAAATCTGGTATATCTGTTGATATATAATGTGTCATCTTCTCTTTTTTAGAACATAAATTGATAACAGATTCATATCCTGAATCCATTCCTAAAATCAGGACTGTGACTTTCTTGACAAATTCCATATTTTAGGAATACAGTTCAACATATCCTTAAATAAAATATTTCTTCCAAGAATTATATTAACACACATTAATTAGAACAAGACCAAATCATATGAGTTAAAGAACCTTTATATTCTTACATCACCAATGTAAGAAATTTAATGACTATCCCTTTTTAAGCATTCTTTGAGGGGTCCAATAGGCCCAAAATAACATTTTCTGATGAATTAGTTTCATTAAGTCAAAGAAGTATATTTCACGTTTTTTAATTCCTGGAGCTATTGATATTCCACATCTTGGACATTAGAGCTGGATATTCCAATTCTGCCTTCCACAGATTCAATATATATAAACAATACTGATTCTAATTGATTCCAGTTGATCCACCCTTGATAACTAGGACTACCAGATTTGGGTTGCAAAAACTCAACATGACTAGTAGATGGTAGAAAAAAGATATGGAACATCCATATTTTGGCATCCCAAATCTTTTAGTCCTACCCCAGTAATTGTCTCATCAGAAAACTCTGGGAAACTGCAACTGTTCCCAACATTCTATTAAGCAGCGATTTGTTTTGAATATGGGTTATTGAACAAACCAGAACCAATTGGTCTTGCAGACAAGCAAAGTAATTATGGCTTGTTTGGCCAATTCCTGGGTTGGTTTTCCTAGGTCCTTTTTAGTTTACCTTTACCTTGCATCTCTGTGAACTGGTAAGCAGTTTGAATGGTACACAGAAATGAACAAGGAAGAAACCAGGAAACTACAAGGAGTTTCTCCCATCTGAACATCACACATAGCCACAGCTGCAAACAGTAATTCAGAACAAGCCAATATATCCAAGTGTCATTTAGCTGCCTAAAATAATCCATAGTTGATTCTCTGACCCTGTTTGTACATCCTGCTAAATCAAAAAGAAACAGAGCATATCATGGATTACAATCTTGTGTGTTTTGGTCTATGCCCCTCATCTATAACAGACAGATATTGAAGACAGTTGCCTACTGCTGTTATGTTAATCAGTATGTGAAACCTCTAGCACACCATAGGTAGTAATATTAGTAGCAGTAGCAATAGTATCAGAATCATTAGAAGCAGCAGCAGTAGGCATACTGGGTTGCAAAAATCCAGATAACCATTAGATGGCTGCAAATAGTTTGTGTCTCTTTGGTGCCATCTAGCAGGTATCTGATTTTTGCAGCCTAGCTGTAGAAGCATTGGAAAGACTTCCACTGATAAGAGGAAAATGCATGTCTTGACTTTCTTGCAAGATTCTTCTTGCAGTTGGAACAATGCTTAAAATGAAATTTACACTCTGATTGACAGCTCATTCAGGTTTACCAAGACATAAATGCCATTTGAGTTTAAATGGAGCTTAAATCCCCTCATTGTAAGTGTTTCAAGTAGTTCTGGGAAATTATGGTTGTAAGAAAAAGCTGTAAGCATATGAAACATCTCTCAACATTACATCTTAAACAGCAGGTAATGCTCCATAAATATTTAATGGCTTAAGAAATTAATGTTTCAACTTGTTAATTTTTGTAAATATCCACATGACAGTATATTTTGGTTAACAGATGTCTTTCATACTGATGTACTTTCTGCTGATGAAGTAAAGTAGACTTCATAGCTGCATGAATATTTTTTGTCCTTTAAGAACTAAAACCATTACGTCCTCATACATTTAACTTTTACAAAGAATAAGTAAACACTTACCAGCTTTTAAGAGTTAAGTATAACTAATCCATGCTAAATGGTAATTCTTGGTTAAATATATTAAGTGCTTTTTTAGGACCAGTCCAAACTACATCTAATCCAGCATTCCTCATCAATCTAGTTTCTACAGCTCCCAAGATTCCCAATTAGAAGGCACAGTCCATCTCACTAACACCTCTGGAGGACTTTGGAATGAGGAAGGCTGCTTTAATCAAACATTCTACATAAGAATCCCAACAGCTGGCATGTGGACAGAAACCATTGGAAATAGACAAATTGTGAATCTCTGCCTACTTCTGCTTAACCCTGTATTTAATGACTGAAAAAAATGCTAAAATTAGCAAAATTCGTAATCTCAAATAAAAGCAGATTTGGTCCATTATATTTTTCCCATAAATATATTCTTTTGTCAATTCAAGAATAGTTATTTCCTCCTAATCTGTGCATATTTAAAAGGAGGTTTAAACTTGGTTTTAAATCTCTACTTTTTTATTCTAAATCGGCATGTTCAGCTGTCAAAAAATGCTCTCATCGGTATATTTGAGAAATGAATTCTCTTTGTGTTTTTAAAGTGGCCCAACAACCACATACAACCACCATACAATTGCTTCTTTGAAGTGCAACTATACTGAGGCCTTCAAACAGGCAGCTCAATTTTCTAGAGCTGAGTTCATATTTCCAAGAGGTTTTTCTGATAAAATTTGTGACAGGTGTGCTTTTCTCAACTTCAAGCCCTCCCTCCCTCTGAAACAGATAATTTTATCAACCATTCTTCTTTTGCGGGAAGGGGTGATTGTCACCCCTTGTATCAAAGTGGACAACTAGAGTCTCAATGTCTCATATGAACCCTGGAGATCTTGGAAGTGATACAGTTTATGATATTTACCATATTAAAAATTAAAATTGATGCATTCATAGAATATTTATTTATTGAATCTGAACCCTGGAGATCTTGGAAGTGATACAGTTTATGATATTTACCATATTAAAAATTAAAATTGATGCATTCATAGAATATTTATTTATTGAATCTGAACCCTGGAGATCTTGGAAGTGATACAGTTTATGATATTTACCATATTAAAAATTAAAATTGATGCATTCATAGAATATTTATTTATTGAATCATGTAAAAATAACAATATTAAACCCATTAGATATTAACATAAATAAAATGTTTTTCATGAAAAAAACACTAATTTTTTTTAACAAATAAATAATAATGAGAAGGTGACATTGTTTTAAATTTTTGCAAATAACTTCAATATATAGCAAATAATTTTGATTTCACAGACCCCTGAGAGAGTCCCCCTGGGATCTCTAGACCCCACTTTAAGAAACACTGTTCTAGATAATATGTGATGTCTGTGTGAACATGAGCATGAAAGGCAAATGTCAAAGTCAGGACATAGGATATAATGATTCGTATTAAATATTAAGTCATTTCCTGGTTGGAAAGCAGATTTTTTTCATTCCTATATCTCAGCCTGGAAACAGTCTCTTCTTATTTCTTAGAAAGGCGATGTGAAGAATTTCCAGTGATCGCTACCCATCATGAGGAGGTTCACCAGCGCCCAAGTCCAGGCTCTGTGACTTATTCTAGGCCAAAGGCCACACTGTTAGCCCTTAGAAGTAGGCCAGGTTCAAGAAACCACAGGAATTCCAGGAATGCTCTTTATTGTAGTAAGGTACAGTAAGAGAATCTTGAAAACCTGTCCAGGTTTTGCTCTGCCCCAACTTATACTAAACAAACATTGAGTTTCTTTCCCACACTTGCTTTAGTCTCTAGACTATATAATTGCTTCTCCAAGACCCTCATTAATGGTTCTTTCATACCTTCCTCAAGGTCACATCTACATTCGTTCACACACAAATCTTCCCAGGGAAGCCGCCCTGCAAAATGGATGGGACCAAATCAACAAAACTTGATTTCACTTCCTGTACAGTTACATGTAATGCCACTTAGTGCTTTGGAGGGTTTGGGGGTGCTCCTGTAAGCACCAGTCTGCAGCTCCTTGAAGCAACTGTTCCTCTCCCCAGGACTGCGTGATTACCTTCTGTGGCTGCACTGTGGTCTCAGGAAAAGACATATTTGGTTTAGGGAGTTCCTAACAAATACTACATATGCTGGATACCTGCTTCCCCTTCAATCCAAGGTGTTGTGCAGCACTAATATATATTATATTCATCACTTTCCCTTTCAGAGACATTAAACATGACAATTTGGTGATAACTTTTGGAGGGCACCTGATGGCCACATTCAGGATTTTCAGAGCCCCCCGAGAGTCTTAAGACCTCCGATTCTGAACTTCTGCCATGGCTGAGTTCTCTTGCATGCATGAACCTTAGTTAAAATGAAAATAAGGTTATTTTTCTTTAAAAATGCACATTTACAGATGTTGCTTCTAAACCTTTAACAAACAGAGAAGGTTATAAACCTAAATAAATATTGACCTGGTAGGCTGGAGAATCCATGCTAACAAATACATGCCCGTTTACTTGTTTTTAATCTGAAAATCTGGACAGTGTATTTGTTTTTTGCTATTTTCCGGGGAAGCACTGTAAGGCTTAGAGTCACCTTTAGGACGTGGCACTGCCCTGGGGAAGACCTTTACCAGTTCCAGGGGTAAAGAGCTGCTTTGGGCTTAACAATGGCTTATTGTAGCAGCAAGGAAAGAATGTGACGGAAGGAGCTTCTGTGGGGTGTGGCCAGGTAGCAGCAGCCAGCCCTCTACCTGTTCAGGTGGTTTAGCTTTAAAGCAGCTGAAAAGAGAGCTCCCCAGACTAGCACCTGCTGGAGTTCTGTGTGCTGAGTGGTAACTGAGAAAACTGGAAATATGTTTTGCTAGACGGAGGAGCTAAGAAACTTCAGGGTAAGAAGAAATAAGGATGAAGAAGCATCACTCAGTACAGGGAACTTTTAGCCGACTCTTTGGGAAAAAGCATGCCACCAACAATTCCACCAGCTCTCTCTTTGTCACCAACCCCCCTTGGGTCTTCACACAGGAAGTCAACTCTGACAGCCTGGCAACCTCAGGTCAGTATGGGTTCTTTTTTTGAGTTTTCAAGGTAGAGTGGGAAGGACAAAGAGAACCGATTTACACTTTGGCTCTGGACTTTCACCCAAACAGGCTCTGTGCCGTAGAACAGATCCAGCCATCAAGGCTTTTACTGGGGTGGCGTTGGTGTGCACGTTTCATTTGTACCCCAAGAGATCTATATTAAGCAGCAATTCAGCTAGAAAACTACAGGAAGTATTTGGTAGGAATGACTGGATGAAATAGGAACGTGTTGAAACCTGTAAAACCAAACTAGCAGCCTGGATCCTCTCTCCCTCTCAAATAATTAAACATATGAAGATTCTAATGGTAACTCCTGTAAAGCACTGTTTAAAGAGCAAAATGAGAGAGTGATTTCCCAAGATTATTTCATAAGATGTTTGTCATTTCATAAGCGATTAGAATTGCTCTGATTGCAGCCGTCAGGAGGCCTTTAGATGGATATGTGCTAGGGACTTGTTATACAGCAATAGACTTGTTCTCTGGATGGTAATTCTCTCTTGTAGCCTGTAATTGTGGGACAACAGCCTGGAGGCTCAGATGGGTGGGTGCCAACTTTGAATTCTTTCAGAGCAGTGCAGAGCGTCCGTGAGGGGATTAATCTGGCAAACTTAAGGTCCCTTCTACCAAAGCAGCAATGCAACACCTGTTGGCTTCAGCCAGGGATTTTGCAGAGAAATTCAGTGCAAAGACCAATGGAGACTGAACAATAACATTCTTCATAAATGGTGTCCTTGGAGGTCATCAAGTTATGTAACTTGTACCTGTATGTTAGCTCAAGAGAGAAAAGGTCTTGCTTCAATAGCATGTATACTAAAATTGGAAAGTACCTCAGTATCCAGGAGAGTGTTGCGTCTTGTTTAGGGCTTCTGGTTCTCAGCTGCAAAAATTTGGACAAGCACCAGATGGCAGCAAAGAGTTAGAGTTTCCTCTGTCAGTTTCCTGATTTTTGTAGCCCAGATCTGGCAGCCCTATTTTTGTCAAAAAAGAGAGAAAGAGAGAGCAAACTCTCTGAAATTGAAGAAATGGGAAACTTTGCCCTTTGACCTGTTCATATATCACTAAAAATTGTTTTAAGTGTTAAATTAGCAAGCTCTGTCTCAGTTCTGAGATAGTATCTGTTGACACTAGAGCTATTCAAGGTATGACCATAAGGAATACGTGTTTTGAGATGTTCTGACTATATTCTGATATTCTCTCTGTGGTGGGCTGGTGAGCTGTCAAGATTGAATAGGTGTCCACATTTTGTCTGAAGATCTAAGGAGTTAACTTTGCAGAGAACACCTCACTTGTCATTCTTCACATTTATGTTCTTACTCCTGTCCACATACACCTTCTACTCACAGCTGTAAAGTGTAAATATGATAAAATATCTGTAAAAATGAAAACACAGTTGAATCATGAGAGGCTTTACTATAACCTGTCACTTTGAACAGCCCAAGGCAATACACTGTCCAAGAGGAAGGACATCTCACTGCTCATCATGTAGCCTAATGATGGAGTTAGTCCTGCAAACAAGAAATGACAGAGGGCTGTGCCTCCTCCCTACATTTAATTTTAAGCCCAGGTTCCACTTTTCTGTGTCATTCCAAAATAAGCTCAAGAAGAGATGAGGAGGAGTGGATCAATGTCTGTTTTCATTTTTGTTGCACAAATATCTAAAACTGGTTCTGTGCTGTGTTTGTACACACACAAAGCTGAGCAATCTGACCCCCACACAACAGGTCTCCTTCTATCTTGTGTCAAGGTACCTCAATTAGGCTATGCAATATCAAATCCTCCCTTTGCAGGCAAGAAGAGCTAAAATGAAGTGATGTATAAATATATCAATGCATAGATCTGGCCTTATTTTCCCCAAAAGGGAACTAAAACTCCCACAATAAAGTGGGATAAATAAGACAGTATCTAGGATGTGGATCAAGGTAAGCAAAATTGCAAAAGCAGTTTCACGTTCATATCAAGGATTGGAATGAACAGCAGAATCCTGAAGAAATTACTTTCGGTCCCTTTATAAATGCTTTCAAGACACTGTTTTTGCTCGCATGATTTCTAGTGGTATATCTGATACCTTTCTGTTGATCTCAGAATAGGGGTGAGCATTTTTTGCCAGCAAAGCCTGTGTATAGTGGTGGACATCTTTAGTTGGGCAAGTCTATGTGCACTGGACAAGGTTGGAGTTGACAAAGGGGATCGGGTTTGGCTCCCCCCTCCTCTCCCCCACACTACAAAAGTGCACAAAAACTTATGCAGTCTGAACTCTCTCTTTAGGGAAGCAAGGCAATAATTCTCAGTTGGAAGGACAACACTGGCCCTCTCCTGTTACTTTTGAGTCCCTATAATGCCATTGACATGGATATCCACAGATATGTATATGGTACATAGGCTGTCCTGCATCCCCAAGGCCAGTGTTGTCCAAACTTGGCCACTTTAAGATGAGTGGACTTCAACTCCCAGAATTC